CATGGTCTAATCCGATCTGAGAAGAGGGCCTCCATGGCCCAACCATGATGACGTCCACTCTCTAATCCGTCCTGAGAAGAGAGCATCCATGGCCCAACCATGATGACGTCCATGGTCTAATCCGATCTGAGAAGAGAGCATCCATGGCCCAACCATGATGACGTCCATGGTCTAATCCGATCTGAGAAGAGGGCCTCCATGGCCCAAACATGATGACGTCCCTGGTCTAATCCGATCTGAGAAGAGAGCATCCATGGCCCAACCATGATGACGTCCATGGTCTAATCCGATCTGAGAAGAGGGCCTCCATGGCCCAAACATGATCGTCCATAGTCTAATCCGTTTTGAGAGGGGAGCATCCATGGCCCAACCACGATGACACCCATGGTCTAATCTGTTCTGGGAAGCGAGCATCCAAGGATCACTGCAAAATCAAACTGTTACTTTCGACGAACTCCCCCTTTGCAGACGTTCAGAAAATCCTGTGTGCAGCCTGTGCCGCAGTGCTCTCGTGGTCTCGAAGCTGCCGCATCGGTCTTTCGTCCTACGAAGCCATGCTTTTAGCACTGTCTGCGTGGCGCGCGTTGTGCGCGCGGACGTGGCGTCGGCGCGTTATTATAAATAACGCTAGCACTAGCATTCATGTGCCCTTGCAATATCGCATCCCACGCTGCTGAGGATAACAAGGGTCTACGGTGTACGGTTTAATTACTGGCGAATTGTTTAAGTTAAGGATTTCAGGTGCAGGGTTCAGAGTGCAAGTTTGAGACAAGGGGCCGGCGTCAATTAGGGTTTAGGAAGTTTAGGAGTTTTGGGTTGGTGCAAAGCGCAGGCCTGTTCCTTGGAAATCTCTCCGTGCATGAAACCAGGACTTGTTACCAAATCTGCACCCGGCCGTGCATGCTCCGTTCGTTCAGACTTTTTTTGTCCTTAGCCCATGGACAAACCCGGAGCTCGTGAAAATTGATAAATTCGGTGCAGGATAACTTTGGTGTTGATAAGATGCTCTTTGAACGTCTGCTGTTCAGTGATGCATGCGCTTTGGAAGCACATAGGCTACCAGCATTCCAGACCACACTAGACTCACTAGATTCTTTGGAGGGACGCGAGTGAGACTGAAGTCGTTAAAACGGGGTTGTTCAGTTTCGGAAACACAGTCCTTGTCGACATCTTGTGTATAATCCACCCCGGAGAAAACTCGAAGGCAACGATCCCGCAACCGGCAGCCGCTGCACCGACAACAATCAGTGCCGTCAATGATATGGTTCAATATTGGTGAGTATTATTGGTGAGTGTCTCTGGAGGACTACGACAAAGGCCCCACACATCATATCTAGCTCCCAGGGTCTTTGCCGTGTTCGGTAGTCGCTAAGCCAAGAGCCCTCCGAACTTTCCTTGCAGATCTGCCATCTGCAGGGGTGTCGCCAAGCTGGATGGCACCAACTCGGCACAGCGTGCCTGGTGGGCGGAGCGGGCGGCCTCGATCGATGAGAGCTTCGTGGCGAAGGTGCAGGAGGCCCAGACGTCACAGACGAATGTGCAGGAACTCCTTGATCAGCACCTCTCCGAGATGGACGCACTGACGGTGGCAATGCCACGTGCGGATGATTTTCGGCTGCCCCACATCAAGGAGCTTGTCAAGACCCCCAAGCCAAACCCTGTGCACGAGGCGACGGTGGCATCGCCGCCCTTGCAGGCCCCGCCCGAAGCGGCTTTGCCGTCCTTTCTTCCCGAGTCCTTGGAGAGAAGGCAGAGACGGAGGCGGGGCCGTTTTCTTGGGAGCCCCAGCCCGAGTGCCCCAAGTGGCCGGAGTGGCCCGGAGGCAGCCGCAGGCTCAAAACCCTCCTTGGTCTGGTCCGAAGATTCCGAGTCGGAAACGGAGTCGGAATGCGAGGCAGAGGACCAGGCAGAGGCCCGGCAGAGCGGTCGCTTTGGGCGGCTTTCTGCAAGGAAAGCCAGGGCCAGAGCCAGAGCCCAGCCGCCTCCCACAGAGCAGGAGGCTTTCATGGAAGAGCCCATGGAGCCCATGGAGCCGGTGCGCGACTGCGAGCTTGGAAACCTTTGGAGCCAATTTGGAGCCTCCTGGGTAGAGTACAACCAGTGTGTGGTTCCCAGCGTCTTTCCACAAGATCCGCAGGGAGAAGGAGCAGCCACCGGGGCCACTCTGGAGGCGTACCACCACACACGACAGTCGGCATCCCTCTTCGACGTCTCTTTTAAGGTCTGCCTGGAGATCATGGGAATGGACCGAGAGTTCGTCGCGGATCAGTTTCTAACCTGCAGCCTCCGAGCGATGCGAGTCGGTGACGTGCAATATGCATGCATCCTGGACAGCAAAGGCCTAGTCCTGGATGACGCCTTCGTCTTTCTTCACGAGGCCTCTGTCAACATCTTAGCTTCTGGTTGGCATGCCAAGCAGCTGCTGGAGTATCTTGGCCAGACGCTCCTCCGCACTTCGGGCTCTAAGCAGGCTGCCAGAGTGTGGGAAAAGGATCGTGTTTTCAGTGTCGGATATTCCGAAAGGAAACGAAAGCATTCTTTGCCAATGAGGTATCTGATCTATGTGCGGCGCTCTGGTGCCGACGTTTCTTTCGTGAGCCACAGGGGCGCCGTCCTCTCTCTGCAGGGCCCGAAAGCTCAGGAGGACACTGCAGACGGCACAAGAGAAATTTGCTGACGGAGCGGCATAAATGCGTAAAGAGAGATCATCAAAGTCACTCTAGGACCTATGAAAGATGCCAACACGATCTAGGTTAACGTTTGAGGCGTTGTTCTGCGTGCTTGAGTGTCCATGACGCCTAAATCTGAGAACCTAAGCTCCAGGCAAGCTGCTGGCCCTGCTGGCCTGATTCCTGTTGTTGTTGTTGGTGGTGGTGGTGGTGGTGGTGTGCTGCTACGACGACGACGACGATGCCGAGGAGGAGGAGCAGGACGACGACCATTACTACTGGCGCTACCACTACCACTACATCTACATGCACATGTCGCATCATCGTCATCTTCTTCTTCATGATTGTCAGTTTGTTTAAGACCGTCATCAGTACATTAACGTACAAACATACATTTATGCACGTACATGTAGATGCCTGTGTTGCTTTGGGAAGAAGGCACTGTTGCTGGCGCTCTCCGATGGCTTGGAGCTCTCAACGTTCAGCGAGAAGGCGAACGGAACGACTAAAACACCAAAGAACGAAGACACTGTATGTGCGTCAATCATCATCCTGACGCAGAGCTCGCACCCTGCCCAGCATGTTTCGTTATGTTGTTTCGCAAGGTCGCCTTGGCACCGCAAGTCTTGGAGGCCATGCCCTACATGAGCGCGCTCTCCTTAGGCAAGTCTGAGGCGAAGGCCACGGTGCTGCGGGTCGGCACCACAGGGGAGGACGGCTTCGAGATCTTGGGACCTTCCTCTTTGTTGCACGAAGTGGCCGCGGCGCTGCTGCAGACCCCACTGGTCAGACCGGCCGGGGTCTACTGCTTGGACATCCTTCGCATGGAGGCCGGTAAAGGACCGAAAAGGATCTGTGTTGTTGCCGAGACACTTGTTTACAAAAAAATATTCCACAAGCCGTATTTGCAAATGTCAGTGAATGATCACGGATTCCTTTCTCAAAACACTAAAGTGACGGGGGGGACGAGTCCCACGAACGAGGCGGGGCTCCCTCGCATCGGCACGGACGTCGCATCGGGACTCCACAGTCCCGTGCGCGCCGCGCTGTCCTGGACCCTGGACCAGGGGAAAATGCGGAGCCACCTGATGCCACAAGCTCGGAGATCGCACAGTTCAGAACTGGTCCCGATTCAGAGCTTGGTTGTGGCAGAGGTTCGGCTGGCAGAAGCTTTTCTTCCAGCTGGCGAAGGCGACCGGCCGCTTGTATTCCAGATACTATCATCGCCATCATCTTCGTCGGTCTGAACAAGAAGCGTTGTTGTCTTAGAGCCAACTTCTTCATGCTTTGGCTGGTAGGGTCCGAAGTTTCGGCGGGTGGGCCTGCTGCTGGACGGCCCCGGGCACAGTGGCTGCCGACTGCTCTCCAACCCCCACCGGCAGCCGATAGGTGGGGAGAGTAGGGACGAAGATGAGGGTGACCGCGATGATGATGCTGCTGCTGATGATGATCATGGTGATGGTGATGGTGTAGGCCACACTGGGCTGTTGATGTGGTGACGGAGAACTCTGCAAGGGGTGGTTGCATTCGCCTTCGGGACAGGCGTGGTCACCTCCACGGCCTGGAGCCCGCATCTCCGGTGTCGGGTAGCGCAGGCTCGTGATTAGATTGGAAGAGGACGATGCGATCCCAAATTCTCTAATGCTGTGCCTTTGAGGCCTACATACGACCGGAGTATGCAAAGGCCAACAAGCATGTGCTTCTCACCGTGCCCTACAACCTGCCAGTGAAAAAGATGCGGAGGTCCTTTGTCGTTGGCCTTGGCTTCCGGAAAGCGAGGAAGTTTGCTTTTCGCCAGGAAGGCCATCAAGCACTGGCTTCGGGCGGGTGATCTACGCTCCGGCTATCGGAGACTGGTGGCCGCCTGCGTGGTGCCCTTGCCCTTCGCGGCTTGCCGGTCATAGCCGCTGCGTCAAAGCTGCAGAAGGTGTCGCCGTGTCGCCTTGTCCGAGGTCCCACACCGCTACCCGGAGCCCGCGCGGCAGCGAAAGGCCACCGCCCGGCTTCGGAGCCGAAGTGCGGAGGCCGCCGTCTCCAGCGGCCCTTTTCGCCATCCCTTAGTCCCTGACACATTTATACACATTGCCACGTATGAAAGAATGCATCTGCATAGTCAGAGTTACGGTGACAACTGTGACGACCGGACCAGGAGACCCTCCGAGGGGTCAAAGCCTCGGCGGTGGGAGAAGAAGCCTCGAGGGCGACTCCCCGAAGGAAGAGTTCCTCCACCGGCCCGCGCCCCTGCACCTGTGCGTGACTCGCATCTCGCAAGGTGTCGCAAGATGTCGTAAGGGCTTGACACAGAGCTTCCTTGAGTGCCAGGCGAGCAGCTGCGGGAAGGCTACGAGCATGCCAGTAAGGAGAGGCAGAGCGACGTATCTGGCGTGTGAGCGAAAAGGTTTTTGGCAGGGCCTGTGTTCTCATTCTCACGGCTGGATTCGCTCTGTGATGAAAATATTCCCTGCTCGATCCGCTTCCTTTGTCTCAGGGTCCTGCAAGGGCCCCCAATGGGCCAAAGGCTTCAGGGTAGATGGCGCAGGGGAGCAGAACCTGCGCGGGCAGAGGACCGGTGAGCACGTGAGCCCGGCAAGTCAAGCCGTCACCTTTCGTGTTGGGGTGTCGTGCTCAGGACATTCCGATTCAGGCCGACTGCCGCCACCTCCAGCATGTCCACCAAGCCCGTGCCAGTCTCAGCGGTGGCCGATGGAAGCCCTGCAGTTCAAGCAGTGATAGCTCACGGCTGGCCCGTTTCGACTTCGAAAGGTCGCCAAAGGCGACGCGATTGAGCTCAATTTGGAGTCCTCAGCTCAGTGCGGGTTTTCAGCTCGTCCCAGTGTCGCAAAGTGAAAGCCTGCCTTCAGGACGATGACGGTGGAGCAAGGGCTGGAGCTGATCGAGAAGGCTGGCAGACCTTAAGAAGCCTCCAGTAGGTGGCGGCGTTGGCCCTGAGGAGCGGGTGCAGCCCTTGCTGACCTACTTAAGGCCATCGTGAATGCCCACAATGTGACGCACAGTATGTCCGTTTGCCTCTCTGTCTGCCTCTCAAATGGAGGACCGGCACCTTCGAGAACAAGACTAACATGACATTTATGAAGGCTGCAGCCCCTGTCGGCATGTAGCGATTGGCGAAGCAAATTCGAGCTTCCTGACCCGAAGCCGTCTCGGCCGTGAGCTGCGAGCGCTGGTGCCAAAGCCTTCATGCCGTTGTGGGCCTGGAGGGACCGTTTCTCGGCGCCGCGAAGCATGGCCTCCCGGTCGCCGTCTCCCCAGATTTTCAGAAGTCGAGACTGCTGGAACTTCAGATGACATAAGATGGGCCTGTTACCGGTCACGTCGCAGCACGGTGGTGGTGGACTGTAAGCTGTCTTCTTGGAGCCTGCTAATTAGTCTTAACAGATGTTGCCACTGCTCGGGCTGCTGGTTTCCGAGCACGTGCCTTGATGTACATTGGTGACACGTTGCGGCGATCCTAACAGGTTCGCGGCATCATGGCTCAGACTTGACTTCTTGCGGCCTTTGAAGCTCGGACTTCGGAGACAGACTCGATGGTCAGCGTGATGGTGGCATGAGAGGCCGTCAAGCGGGACATTTCATGTTTCCATACGCGAGACAGCATTGACGGCGCGTCAGGAGCCAGTGACACGCTGCTTCCACGGCCACATCCCGACGGGCCTTAGCTTTTCAGCGCGGCCGATACTGTAGCTTCAGAGGCCCTCTCACGGCTTCGCAGAGGAGTCAGGACGCGAGTGACCTGGATCTACTGCCTTGTAGCCGAGCGAGGACAGCACTTTCGAAGGTTATCTTGCGATAGGCATGGAATCCATGTTGTGGCCGTGGCCGCAGACATCCAGTCTTTGCCATGTCGATGGCTATGCTTGACTGGCTGCTCTGAAACAGCAGTGATCGATGTGCAGCGGAAGAAACAGCTTCGATTGACTTGTGTCCCAAGCCAAAATCGAATAGCACGCGGCAGTGCCGGCACTTATTCTTGAGATACGCGCCGAGGGAAGAAAGAGGACAAGCGTAGCATGAAGGTGTGTCGTGATAGTGATGACAAATGGTTTCCACCAACAGAACATTTCCCTGCACCATGAGGCGTACTCGGTCGTTGTACAGTTTGGCGACCAGCAGCAGCACTCCTTCAAGCTTTATTCTTATTACAAGAAGGCCAGGGAAGCCATGTCATCGCGGAGGCCTTGGTGACTCTGCGACTTCTGACGATTGCTCCTTGCAGGTGATTTCGGATTATTGCAAGAACGGCATGATAGAGCTTCAGAAGCTGGCCGGTGAGGCAGGGTTTGCCGAGAGCCGCTGTTTAGGGGGTGACAGCTTGGAGGAAGTCGGGGCACCCTGCTGCCTCAGAAGTTCGCCTGGGAGATGTGTTCACTCCGTAGGGTTAGCCTTCCACTTCTGATGGCAAGAGCATGAGCGCGGGCTGGACTTGCAAATGCTCGTCGGCCCCACAGGCCTGTTCAGTACGTCAGTGTAACCTTAGGTAATTGGCAAAGGCGTTTGGCAAAGGTTCCGCAACTCATTGGTGTCTAGCCCTGGCGAAGGACCTGCTGCACGCGCTGGCGCAGCTGTGGGAGCGTCATGGGCAGGAGAGCGCGTCGAGGGGAAGCTTCCGTGTTGGATAGGAGAAGAACACGATCCTGGTCTTCTGGATGCAGCGTGTCTTCCAGCCGAGGGCTCATGCTGCTTGCTAGGCTGCTTGTTTGCTCGTTGATGATTCCGAAAAAAGGGGCTAAGCTGGCGACCTGTGGAGGTATCTGGATCGCTTCTTCACGAAGAGCAGCACGGACGCCTCTCTAGAAGACGAGATTTTTCGACTCTCCTTGGGTGTGCTCCCGCCGGCCTGAGGAGTACCCTGATCTTTTCAAGGCTGCAGCGCAGGCCTTTTCAGATCCTGGGCAGCAACGGGGGTTTTGCAGCAATGTGAGACCCGATCTTCTCTTTCTGCTGACCGAGTCTCACCCTAGACCTAGGAGCACGTCTTCTCCAAGCTCAAGGACTCAGTCCTTGGCCGAGAGTGCAAAGCCTTTCTTCTTCCTCCGTGGTCCCGGAGGCGAAGTGTGTGGAGGCTCTGGTGGCGCAGGTTAACCGGGAGCGTGATGGCGTGGAGATCGACCAGGAGATTCCTGTGATTCTACCTCAGGCAGCGGTCATCTTTGTGTTCACTTGCATGGCGGTATCGGCTCAAGCATTGACAGCTAGCGAGGAGAGCCATGCCCTTGCAAGAGCCAAGTCAGAATGAGGACGACAGAACTCTTGGAGACAAAAGCACGACCCTTTTTATACGCAGTCTTGCACCCTTTGACTTCAGAAACGTGTAGCGATCTCGGATTCGGAGCCCTGGCGACCGCTGTTAGAGCCTCCATGGACGAGGTCCGAGTCGCACAAATGCAGTGCGATTATGACATCCAGCAGCACAACGACTGGTACCGCCAACATCAACAGCAACGCCAACAAGAACAAGGAACATGATCGACATTAATCAGAGCAACGAGACTGATAACAAGTGCAGTACAGTAACAAGAGCAGCAACAACAACAACAACACCTCCTGCTGCTGCTGCTCCTCCTCCTCCTCCTCGTACTACTACTACTACTACTCCTCCTCCTCCTCCTGCTGCTGCTGCTGCTGCTGCTGCTGCTGCTGCTACTGCTACTGCCACCACCACCACCACCACCACCAACAACACCAACAACAACACAGCCGCCGCCACCGCCACTACCACAAAACTTCCTAACACTGGCTAGCCGCAAGCCTTTCGATGATTTCCGAAGACGTTTGCACGATCTCGGCCCCCAGGCCGAGGATTGCGGACACCTCTACGGCTTCGGAGATCCTGCTGCAAAGCCTTCCAAGCTCCAAGAGATTGTGCAGCAGAGAGAGAAGGCACGTGAAAGGGCACGGGAACCACAGATCGGTCATCTCATAATGAGGGAGATGGCCAGCACTTGCTCACCTCAAGACTTGTAGGGATTCCCAGCGCACCTGGCCGCGCAGGATGTGGCCGCTGCCAAAGAGAAGCTTCCACCAGAGCAACTGGCGGAAGCAGCACAGGCCTTCGTCAAAGAGTTCGGCGCGCCGCAATCACTGGTGGACATTTCGGAGAAAAGCGGGCATAGTTGCCGATCCCCACTTTCGTTCTTCATGGCGATTATAGCCATCGTCATCACCCTCATAGGAAGTGGAAGATGGGTGGAAGGGTCCTTTTTGGTCGCTGCTTTCTGCCTTGAGGACTGCATTGGCGAGGCCGAGAAGTCTTCTTGGTCCCTGGCCCTGGCTGCAGAGTTCAAGCGGGCATCCCCTTCCAAGGCCAGGCATCAAGGTACCCCCCCTCTGGAGATTGGGGTTTAGGGCCGTTTAGGGTTTAGGGCAGTTCAGGGCTCAGGGGATATAGGCATAAAGGTATCCTGTGTGGTGCTGCATGTGATTTAAGCGGACCTGGTCACATGCACTACGCCTCTTGACACAAAGGGCGACATCAGCCCTGACCTGGATGCTGCCGAGCAGGCAGGGAGGGACTGAAAGAGGATGGTTCGCAAGACTTCTCAAAGTGTGACGCCATTGCCATGCAGTATGTCAGCATTTTCTCACCACAACCACAATATGCTGGCGTGGAGTGTATCAACGTTGCTGCCCTCAGTTGTCTCACACGATGTCAAGTTGTTCTTTGCACGAGGCTCTGGTCTACAGTCACCATGGTGCGAGCATCCTCTCGGTATTGACCGAGCCCAAGTGGTTCAAAGGCACCCTCAACGACCTCAAAGATGTCCGAGTCAGGACAATGCGCCTGAGAGGGCAGAAGCTTCCACAACAACACGTGCTCGTTTTTTCTCACCTTCGGAGGACGCAGGCCTGGGCCGCCAAGGAGGGAAGACGGCGGCCTGCCTGCCTGCGGAAGGACTTCTTGATCGATGTGCCTCGAAAGAAGCTGTCTGAGCAGACTTGAGTTTTTCTCCCTCTGAAATGGTTCAGAGTTGGCTCTTCAGACTGAGGAGTATCAGGTCATGGAGGCCGTCGCTCACGGTGCGGACACGGTGCTCCTCATGGTTTCCATCCTCTCGCAGACCAGGCCTTAATGAATTTCTTATGACATCCTCTGCCGTCGAGACTTTTGCACTAGTTAAATTGGCTCTAATAATTAACACAGAAAGTAAACGTGAATGTGGGGAGTCGGAGGCTGCAGTCGCTGCTGAGCTGCTGCCGGAGCCAGGGCCTGGAACCCCTGGTGGAAGTCGTGACCGATCGGGAGCTGGAGGCCCTAAACCCTCAGGTCTTCACCTCAGGTCCCGTTTTTCGTAACTCCTTTACAAGTTCAGGTCGCGCTGCGGGCAGGGGCCAAAGTGCTGGGGGTGAACAACCGGAACCTGCACACCCTGGTCCTGGATAAACACCGCACAGAGGCCATCTCCCAGGAGACCCGCCTGAGAAACGTGAAAAGCCACCCAACTCAAAGGCAGTGTCTTCTTGCGTCTCGCGCCAGGAGCTGGCACGGCGGGGTGTGGCAGTTGGCACGGAGGTGAAGTTGTTGGCTCTCAGCGGCCTTTCCAGCGCCGAGGACGTGGCACACTGCAGGGAGATCCGATGCTCGGGGATCCTGGTGGGCGAGGCCCTGATGAGAGCACCGGATCCAGGCTGCGCCAGGAAGCAAAGTGGCTTACGAGAGATCTAGAGAATGCGTCAAGTCCTCAGAACCGCTACGACACAGGTGCCGCCATCCTGGCCATGATGTCACCCAGCGAAGGCGCTGCTGCGCTGCCGGTGGCACCGGGGGCTGTACTGGTCAAAGTCTGTGGCGTTCGACGCGAGGTGCGATCCCGGTGTCCAAAAAATATTGTCACAGTGAGTTTGCATACGATGCTGTAATATATACTGAGTATATAGTCCTTGAATGTTGCATGTACGAACCTCAGGCAGATAAAGCTTCATGCAGGTAGCTGGCCTTTGCAGGAGGACGCTTCGTGTGCCGTCTCTGCCGGTGCCAACCTCATCGGCGTGATCTTCGCCAAGTCCAAACGCCAGGCCTCACAAGAGGAGGCAGGCCCAGCGCACTGAGCCGTACTGCCAAATCCGAGCTTTGTGGTTTTGCAAAACCGGCTGCCGAGGCGACAGGCCTGGTGGCCGCGGTGCGGCGCTTCGGAGAGCGCAGCGGTCGGCTGCTGCGTCAAACAGAAAGCCCAGCGACTGCAGCTGCAGCAGCGTTGGCAAAGCAAGCGGCCGCGCTGCGCTCCGCCTGTCAACGGCCTTTGGTGGTGGGTGTCTTTATGGACCAGGCTTTAGAAGAAGTGTCCAAAACCACCACTGCAACCGACGTAGACGTGGTGCAGTTGCATGGTGACGAGAGCCCAGACTTCGTGCGGGAACTGCGTGCGCAACTGCCAGACAGATGGATTATCAAAGTCGCTCACCTTCCTCCGACTTCCAGCGGCGAGGGCGCGTCCCCGGAAGAGCTTGAGGAGTTGAGGCAGCGTGATGAGCTCACAAATAATTATGAAGGGTTTGGGTTCAGTGTGCTGGGATTCCAGGGGCCAGTGCCCGAGGTGAATGCTTGATCAGAGCTTCAGCTCCCCAAAACTTACCCGAATCGAGGCGAAAGTTGATGGGCTACTGCGAAGTGTGCGACTCCATCTTGCTTGACACCGCCGTCAAGGGCAGCAACTCGGGTGGCACCGGTGCTGCTTTTGATTGGGCAGTGGTGCGGGTGGTGCAGGAGCAATGGCAGATTCCAGTGATTGTAGCCGGCGGCCTCACCGACACGAACGTGGCGGAGTTGGTAGCGTCCGTTGGCCCTTTCGGTGTGGACGTTGCGAGTGGTGTTGAGGATGCCCCCGGCATCAAAAATAGCGAGAAGACTCCGCGGTATGTCCGTGAGGCCAAGCGGGCCCGTTTCTCCAAGTGAGCCGATATGCGCCGGTATGTACTCTTGAAAAAGCTGTCCAGCTGCATGCCCCCTGCTGCGCAGCCAGCGACCATACTTGTAGCCTCGGGACACCGAAGGATGTGCTTCGCCGCCTCGTCGAGATGCTTTGCACTGCCGGTACCTCGGAGTGCAATGGAGCGGCACGGGGCAGCGCCTGTGGTCGAGGTCGGGGACGCCGGGCCCAAGGTGGTGAAACAGAAAGAGGGCGCAGACAAGAATGCTGCGGATCGGCTCCTCTGGCAGCCAGGCTTCCCAGAGACCGGCGCGACCCGCCCTTCCTGGTTGAGCCGCGGTAGTACTGCAGATCGGCTGAGGTCACAAGCGCGCGGAGTCTACAAGGCAGCCGAGAGCGGTGCGGAGCGATACACGAGGAGAGAGCGGCCCTGCACTTGCCCTGAGACCGACTTCGAGAGCAAGCTTCTTACGACCAGCGCAGAGTACTATCGCTCCAAAGTGGCCGGCTGGACAGCAGCGTGCGCGAGATTCTCCCAGAGCATGAGAAGCCTTAATACCTGCAGCTTTAATGGCTTACTGTAGGTGCCTGCCGAGTCTCAAACTCCAACATCTTGAATTTGTCTCTTGTTTGTTGGCCTCCGTGCCTTTCGTCGGCCCGAAGAAGGAGGGTTCAGCAAAATTGAGGCAGGAGGGTTTAGGGGTACAGTCTCGCGGTCAAACAAAAGCAAGCCAAATTGCATGCTGCTTACTCGCTTTATGTTGCTTGCAACGTTTGCATTGCGGCCGCGGTTGGGTTAGCGTCACCTCCAATATGCTTTTTTCTCGACGAGTTTCGGCTTTGCAAACGCCGAAAACATCAATGTCGCGAGTTGTTTTGTAGGAGTTTCAGTGTCTTCGGCTCGGTTGCGGTTTGTTTGGGGCAGGTCAATCATGCTCTTGTCTCATGCTCCTTTATGTTTCTGTGCTGCACTGTCCTGAGCTTGTTCTTGAAAACATCATATGTGCTAGTGTTGGGATGCTTGCTATGATAGGGAGGACGGAAGTGCAGGGTGGGGGTTTGCGAGTTTTCCGGGTTGCAGGGTCAGTGGGGGGTGTAGGCGAGGTTCTTGCTTGACGGACTCCCAACCTCAGGGGCATGGTAAGTTTTTATAGTGATGAAGGAGAAGAAGAAGATGATGATGCCTGCGGATAATGATGATGCCTGCGGATAATGACGATTCGACGATGATGATGACGCTGATGCTGATGATGATGACGATGACGACGATGACGACGACCATGATGATGATGATGATGATGATGACGATGGCTGAAGCCGTTCATGACGTCGCGATGACAGTAGACAGTAGCTTTGCTGCCAAGGGGTCCGAGCGATACAGCGCCAAACCTGGTGATAAGGGTGGCAGCCCTCTCCCACGTCCCAACGGCGGCCACCGGCTCAAACAGGTCAACAGCACTCACACACCACGGTCTGCCGGTGGGCTGCGAATCGAAAGCCATTTCGAGCAGCTGGCATGTGGCTAGCAGCAGCTCTGCAACGGTGGGACATGATGTACAGTCTTTAGACCTTGGTCTTACAAAAACCTAGTTCGCGTATCGGGGAAGGTGCTTAACCCTGCATGTTCAACACCCTCTGCCTGAAGTAGCGGCGTTCATCAAAGCGTTTCGGGGCGAAAACTGTGGAGTTGTTTGGGCCTCCCTCACATCACATGCGCATGCATACCCAGACTTGACATAAAACCTGCAAAATCCTGTTCTGAAGTGCAGAAGGACCCACGAAAGCCGAATGACTCTGTACTTTGCATTGTGCATCTTCTCAGAACAAATGGCAAACAGTGATCGCCGCCAAAATATCAAAAGCGGCTTTCGACCTGTTGCCACCGAGGTTTTACATTTTCAATTTGTTGAAGCTTTAGCTGCGACATGCGACGAACACGCTACGCCAAGCTTGCCGATGTTTGCAGAACTTCCGCGGTGAAACTCTTGTGATCACCGCAAACCCTTCGCAGCGGCGAAACTTGCGGAGTCCTTGTTGTTCTACTGTGAGGAGAAGATGTTTTTTGCACTTTCCTTCGAATCGACACGACAGGGTGCAGGCAAAAAGAGAGCCATGAAGTGGGAAGGGGCTTGGCAACTTGGCTGTGCCTCCGTGCGAATGCCGGAAGTAGAGGTAGTAGAGGGTCAGTGGATTCGTTGATTTTTCTGGACCTTGGCTGCTTGTGAGGTACTCGTGCCCTCAGTTCCTGCGCGAGATTCAGAGGCGATTGGAGGACGAGGCCTCCCTGGAAACCGCCGCCTCAATATTTTTTCGATCCAAACGCATCTGAATCCACTGGAGGAGAGTCGGCTCAGCCGATATCTGGACCCGTCATCCGAGAAGGACAACTATTCAAGAATCGTCAAGACTCCTGTGTGTGTGTGTTACCGAAAGCCCTCCTCTGATCTGAATCCTATCTCATCTGACTCCGACAAGTTTTCCCCTGCGGTGTCTCTCGAGCCTTCTTGTTGTTGGGCTTTCAACTGGAGAAACGAAGAATCCTGGTGCACTCGAACTAATGTGGCTTAAGCAGAGTCGGCGGGACAGACATGCCAATGAGGAGTTCAGCTGTAACGCGCTGTCCCCCAAACCCCATGGTGCCGTTGGCCTCATGGTACATGATCCGCTGAGCCTGTAGCAGTCCTGTAGCCAAGTATGACCTGCAACAGAACCAGGCCCATGCTTTACTGGTAGGGCATCCCATTTTCGGTCTGAACAGACTCCCATACGGAAAAATGTAGTGTTTACCGCTCTCTGCTATGGAGTGCCGCTGCTTCGAAGGGCTCTTCAGTGCCTCTTGGCTTTATAATTACGAAGCCCTCAGAGTCTCTGAATTCAAGATGCACCCGTCAGGAATCGCCGCAGGAGCTGACTGCCCTTCAGCGCGGCATAGGCCGCTCTGCAGGCCGAAGGGGGCTAGAGAGTCCAGTTTCTCAGCGCCAGGCCCTGGCATCCATGCCGTGCTGGAAGGCGCGGACTGGCCCCGTCCAAGACAGATAGGGTTTTAGGGTTTATAGGGGTTTAGGCCAATTTAGGGTTTATAGGCTTTAGTATATGATTTGTAGCTTGCGGCAAGGGTGACGAGTGACTCGCCTGCTTATGGTGAGAGGCTGGGTGTGCTTGGTGACCTCCAGCGCCCCGCGAAAGTCCAGAGAGGCAGTTAACGGGGAGGTGGACTTCTTACAAGAAATCGTGCCTTGCAGAGAATCTGGCAGGTTTATGCAAGGCTCACTGCAGATGCCCTTGGCTTCTACAAGGCCTGGTTCGAGAGGAAGCAATAGGCCGCGAAGACTGCGAAATGGGCGTGGCCTCCCAGGACAAGCCGCAGATGGTCTACGACCCGCCGCAATCCCAATTGCAAGATAGCCCGGAGAGTGATACTGTAACCGTCACTACGGTCATCATCAAGCTTCAACACCTGTGGGAAAATAGCAGATCGAGGATCTAGGCATGCTCTGCCCAGAGTCCCTTGTTTGCGGATCCAGGAATAGTGAATAGTGTGACCGTGGCCGCGAGGGGCGGCTTAGATTTGGCGGCATCTTGTTGGCGCGCACAGCTGTTAGTTTCGCACATTTGAAGGTTTACGTATATTGATCCTCAGTCGGACGATTGGAGACCTCATTTTCCCCCACCTTTTCATTTTTATGCACCGCTCATTTGGGGTGTTGAATCCATATTCGGTTGCAGCCCGCGTCTTGCATGGATCCCCGGCCATGCTGAACTGAGGGGCACGGTAGCACAAGCCAGATTTTCCTGGGCAGCATGAACATTTTCCCTCAGCTTATGTACCGCCTGGCGTTGTGCCTTCTTGCTGGTGTCTCTGCTCAGGCGATGCGGCCTGAAAGCCGCTGAGTCCGTCCGTTCCTTTGTGCGGGCTTGTTGGTCGTGTCTGCGCTCTCCGACTTCCTCCCAGCCATGTACATACTTTCGTTGCACTGGTCTGGCTGGAGCCTATCCTGCATCTGTGTCCCGTGCCGTCGGACCTGGTTTCCAGTGACCACTTCGGCAAACTCCACGGAACATTCTTGCGTACATCCGTGCTTCGTTGTCTCTGCGCTTGCCGCCCTTCTGGCACGAAGCCTTTGCATATGCTTGCTTGCAGCAACGTTTTGTCAAGAATTCCAGCAAGTCGCTATCTATCGCCGTGTCTGTTTCATTCTGCTTCTGGCTGATGACCTCCCGCCGTGCCATCCTTGTCCTTGTTTCGGAGTTTGTGGCTCGCACCGACGGCATGATCTTCGACGCGATGAACGAGCTTCCACCCAATGGTCTCATGAGGGTCCTCGTGCTTCTGTGCCCCCGCATCATGCCACGACACTTGGCCACAGAGTGGCTTCGGCAGTTGCTTCGACCGCTACGAATGGTCAAGTCCCTGCCTTCCTCTCGGCACTGGTCCGGTGCAGTTGATGGAACAGGCCACGGGGAAGCTGTTGTGGCCCTTATGGCGAGGAGCGGCTTTCTCCCATCAGTCTCTCCTCTTTGCGTGAACCAGCACTGCCGTGTCTGAGGACATTTGCCGCCAACCTGCGCTTGACTCGGTCACTCAGCCCATTGACATCGCAGCCTTTCCGGTTGATTCGCGCATGGTTGGGCAGAAGGCGCTTGCAACAAAATCCGACCTTGCGCGTGAGATTCCGGAGTTCAGCCGCGTTTGGGTTCAGTTGGCTGATTCTTCATCTGCCTCCGCCACTTCTCTTTGTCGCCTCTCCGACTCATCAATTGAGGTTCCGCGCATGTGGTTGGACTTGACCACGTCAGATGCTTATGTCGTCTCCACTTCAGCCTGTAAACAGGTTTACGACGTTTCGACCGTTTTGACTCCCACCAGCTTTCTTGCTCTCAGCATGTTCAAGGCCGAGCTACCGTGGCTGTTTCCCTGGCATCTAGGAATCTAGGACCTAGGAGCCCGAGGCTCAACGAGTTGTACTCTAATTAGCGTCACTCTGGTGATGCATGGCATTTTCGGGTCCGAAAACTCCGCTTCCGATGGCCAAGAGCCTGTGTAAGGTTCTGTGGTCTTTTGCTTACGCACCGAAAGCCTCCGTGTTACGGAGCACCTTGACAACGTCGCAGCAGCTTGATTTCCTCGTTTCTCGATCAAACTTGGTCCGGCCGCCGCTACAGGATTAGTTGCATCGTTTCCTTTGCTCCCGTCGTCCTTGCTCCTCACGGACTCACTTCCTGTGCTACACCGACAAGGGTGCCAAGGAAGGCATTGTCGGAGTGTGCGAGTGGATTAGTAATGCTAAGGTAATGGAGCAGTCCGACCAAACAAACCTGACGGTTTGAGAAAACTCTCCGGGGTTTGCTGCCGCTCGGCACGGCCAATGTCGATTCTGAGGCGTTGCTACCTGAATCGGCCAAGAGAAGCACAGCAGCGGAGGCGTGAAGTGCCAAGCGTCCCGACTAGCAACAGCGGATCTTTGGATGGGTAGACAAGAAAGCGCCGTCGACACATCACGATTTTCATGGGCAAGGCCTTGATCAATCAGGAGCCGAAGCATCACTCAGCGAAACAAACAACAGCAGACCCTACCCAACATGTGGCATGGCAATGGCCCCCGAAACGACCAGGGCGCAGACACGCGCAGGGCGTAGTGGTAGTCCTTGGGTTGCTTGGCTGTGGCAGCATGGCGGTTGGCGACAAGAAGACCTGCGTGTGTACGATGTCTAGTAGTCATATACTTGTGCTTTTGTGGTGTTGATTGTTACTGCTTGCTGTCTATCTAACCCACGCCCGCTTTCGGCCTGATGTGATAAGGGTGCAGATCGCCACGGCCGTCGAGGGCACAGCCAGCCCGAGCGATGGCGTCGCGCCCGAAGAAGTACCGGCCTCAGAGGAGTTGTGAGCAGCTCGGGTGGCTGGGGCCGACTTGGAACCTGTGGGGAGACATGCGGGTCTATGCTTGTCATGTCGCTGTTCACAGTTGGCAATGCTTTTCCATCATGATGCCAGCATGAACAGATGCTCTTGAACGCGGTTCGGGTAAGTTCAGTGTTGGTGCTTGATGGGGTTGGACAGGCACAAGCCGCACAATGGTTGCTATTCCCGGCTGGCTTCAACTGTGGAGTGGGATCGCTTGGTTGTATCGTCTCTCCTCCAGCTTGTTGTGACTGGTGCTTTTGGTGTATAGGTCCAGATATCCGTCTTCGTTGTCGTTCAGGTTGTTGTTGCTACTGTGTTTGAAGATGCTCCAGGACGTAATTAGACCCAAACCTCCAAGTGCAGGGTGTTTCCGGATGTAAAGGGACATTACACAGAGATGACGAGTGGGAATCCCAAGACCTGAAAGTTGTGCGCAGCCTTCAAGCCTAGCCCTTGGGTGGTGGCGAGCCCAGACTAGTAAAGTGGGCAACCCACGCGTGCAACTACACCTTCGGCAACTTGAACTGTTGCTGCAGTGTAGCTCCTACTACAACAGGAACTACAACAGCTAATGCTACTGCTGCTATTGCTATTGCTACTGCTACTACTGGCACATCGACGATGACGACGACGACGAGGACGACAATCACGACGACGGTGACGACCAAAGGTTGGGGGCGGGGGTAGCGAATGATCATCACGCAATGTTTTGGGAAGAACAACAGCAACTAACATGCCAATCATTGCAGCGCGTAATCTCCTAAATTGCATCTGAGCTATATCGTTATGCTATAGCCGTCTTGCGCCGAGACGTGGACTTCGACACTTTGTCTATTACTGTCTGAAATTCCTGTACTATGTCATGGTCTGAAGACAACTCCTGCTCGATCCAACAGTGTTGCAGGTTGTGCTGCTGGCGCACATTGCCTCGGTCTTAGGCCCGAAGCGGTAGCAACACAGTTTGATACCGTGCTACTCAGCACGAATCTATGCAGTTTCGATCATCGTTTCTGTTGGAAGTATGCACAGGAACACGCCACATGTATAGCTACTGTACATGTTTCATAGCCATCGAGGATGCGACAACAATAGGATTTCAGAGCGAAGACACGAATCATAGGTACGGTTATCATGTGGTCAGGAATGGCTTCGGAATAGTGGCATCTTGGTAATCACACCACCACCACCAGCAGCAGCACCACCACCACCTCCATTGTTCCCACCCCCGTCACCACCACCACCACGACCATCGGTGCTACCACCATCATCAAGCCAGAAGTGGAAATGCAATTTTGTTGAACGCAAACCATCTAGCTCGGAGTCTGGTGTGGCGTGCCGCAGGCCGGTCACAGGGCAGCCAGCACGTCCGCCTCTCCGACGGCCGGGGAAAGTGGCCAGGGATCCCAGGAAGAAGAGGAAGTTTCCGAGAGAAGGAAAGCCCGCTCACGTGCGCGAGGGTGTGTTTGTGTTTGTGTTTGTGTTTGTGTGTGTGTGTGAGAGCCCTGATC